AATCTTGACTTGCTGCTGATCACGGCCTGAAGAAGAAACACAAAAGGGTGCTGTTCTTCACCAGAATTATGAGTGAACGGATACGTGTGATGTGGCCACCACCACTCTCAGGCAAGCCCAGGAAAAGTGGCTTGTTCTGCCCAAGCTTTCCCTGAGTTCCCTGTGGTCGCCAGCTTCGTCATGGCCCGGGCTCTGCAGTGTGCAGGCGCTATCTGCTTGAACTTGCGGGGGTGAGGACAGGCAGCAAGTGTGGCCTTGCAGGGTGCGGGGTGGCCATCAATGCCCAGCAAGTGGGGAGCCATGGGTCCAGGCATCCTGGGAAGGGCTCCCTTCCATCCCCTCAACACCCTGGCAGGCTGCCCTCACTGCACCTCCCCGCTCACGCCCTAACTAGTATTATAGTTTTTAAATCACTGGTGTGTACAATTACCGCTCCTGGGATCATGGTAAGGAGGTCTGGGCTGGGGCCTAGACTCTATTTTTTTTTTTTTTTTTTTTTTGTGGTACGTGGGCCTCTCACTGTTGTGGCCTCTCCCGGCGCAGAGCACAGGCTCCAGACGTGCAGGCTCAGCGGCCATGGCTCACGGGCCCAGCCGCTCCGCGGCATGTGGGATCTTCCCGGACCGGGGCACGAACCCGTGTCCCCTGCATCAACAGGCGGACTCCCAACCACTGTGCCACCAGGGAAGCCCCTAGACTCTATTTTAACCCACCTTTGGCGGCCAGCTCTGACATCACAGGACGATAGCCGTCAACCCCCTACCCTCCATCCCTCATCAACAGCACACTTTTATCTGCTCTGTGTCGTCTTCTGTAAACTTCTGGAAGATAACAGCTTGAGAAACCTTGCCAGCATTCTGTTGTGTGTTAGGCAAATGGCACAGGTTCAATGAAAAATGTTTGAATACAAGTTTCTAAAAGTCAACAGCTTTCCACTAATCTTGAAAAATCTACAGTCTACCTAGCACACCAGAATGGGAGGCGTGAATTGTGATTTTTGGGGTGCACATTCCCTAGTGAAATGCAATGCCTTCTATCTCTGGCAGGTTCCCTCATTTGACACAAACAGTTAGCAGGTATGAGTGCGCAACCCCCGCGTGAGCCACCAGAGCCAAAGGTGGGCAGGTGAGGTGAGCTCACAGCGCTGGCCGGCTGTCAATTTCAAATCAAGACTGGGTGACTGAGGGCAGCTGAGGAGTCTAACGAACAAAGACAGCGAAATGGGCAGTGTACCTATAACCTCAGCAATTACTGCTCAACAGTAAGTTTTCTAATAAAACTTTAAAGTGTTTCCACATGAGATCCTATGGTGACCTGGTCTAGTGGGTCGAATGGTGGCCCCCAACAGATCTGTCCATGTACTAACCCCGGGAACCTGTGAACATGGCCTGATTTGGATGAACAGTCTTTGTAGACGTAGTTACATTAGGGATCTTGACATGAAGAGATCATCCTAGATTATCCTAAATCCAGTGAAGAGTGTCATAAGAGACAACAGAACACAAAGAGAGGAGGAGGCAGAGTCTGGAGTTCCACAGCCACAAGCCAAGGAGGAGCTGGAGCCGCCAGAAGGTGCAAGACCAAGAAAGATTCTCCCCTAGAGCCTTCAGAGGGAGTGTGGTTGTGCTCATAACTTGATTGTGGACTCTGGCCTCCAGAACGGTGAGAGAATACATTTCTGCGGTTTTAAGCCATCCAGTTTACGGTCATTCGGTACTGCAGCCCTAGGAAACTAATAAGCTTGGTCTTCACGTCCCTATAACGAACACTTTCTGTACCTCATTCTTGCCACTCACATTGCCACCGAAAAGTAACTGACACCGATGAGATAAACAAGCATGTGTAGAACTTTTCTAAATATTTCCTTACGGTAAAAGAACAGTACCTATGCATTAAGGAGATTTAGAACCGTAGGCTATGGTAAAATGACACCATTTCTGGATGCCATTAAGCTGGATTATTGGTCGATTTGAAAGTTCTGTCACTTTGTGCTTCACCAAACTGCAAGATTAAACTGGTAGTTCCAGCATGTTCCGTGTCTTGTTTTCGTTGTTGCTGTTAAAAATCTTCACCATATCAACGTAAGATCTCACCCCCGGCATTTCACTGTGCAGAGGTGCTAAAAGCTATTTAGCGGAGGGGCTGTACTGGGGTTTCTGTCTGAACATCCTTGCTGACCCTCGCGTGCTTGTGCAGTGGTGTCTGTGGGAAAGTCCCAGCATCTCAGGGCTGAGTTCTCGACAGCTTTGCCACCATCCTGCAGAGAAGCCCCACCAACTTGCCTTCTGTTTTCCTCACCACCTGCCCATGAAGCATGAGAATCTTGCTTTTAAAAATGCACGTCCAGGGCTTCGCTGGTGGCGCAGTGGTTAAGAATCCGCCTGCCAGTGCAGGGGACACAGGTTCGAGCCCTGGTCCAGGAAGATCCCACACGCCGCGGAGCAACTAAGCCCGTGCGCCACAACTACTGAGCCTGTGCTCTAGAGCCCATGAGCCACAACTACTGAGCCCACGTGCCACGACTACTGAAGCCCGCATGCCTAGAGCCCGTGCTCCGCAACAAGAGAAGCCACTGTGGCGAGAAGCCCGCGCACCACAACGAAGAGTCGCCCCCACTCACCACAACTAGAGAAAGCCCTCACACAGCAACGAAGACCCAACACAGACAAAAATAAAATTAAAAAAAAATAAATTGAAAAAAAAAAAGCACGTCCTGTCAAATGGAGCTCAGGCCTTCCCTGACAAAGCCAGTGTTCTTCCAAAGGGAAGCAAAGGCCTAGTCAGGGCTCAAGACTTCCATCAGCAGTTTGGAACCCAGCTGGCCTCACTTCCATCCCTTCTCAAGCACCTACCTCCCTGACTTGAAATGCCGGGGGTGAGATCTTACGTTGATATGGTGAAGATTTTTAACAGCAACAACGAAAACAAGACACGGAACATGCTGGAACTACCAGTTTAATCTTGCAGTTTGGTGAAGCACAAAGTGACAGAACTTTCAAATCGACCAATAATCCAGCTTAATGGCATCCAGAAATGGTGTCATTTTACCATAGCCTACGGTTCTAAATCTCCTTAATGCATAGGTACTGTTCTTTTACCATAAGGAAATATTTAGAAAAGTTCTACACATGCTTGTTTATCTCATCGGTGTCAGTTACTTTTCGGTGGCAATGTGAGTGGCAAGAATGAGGTACAGAAAGTGTTCGTTATAGGGACGTGAAGACCAAGCTTATTAGTTTCCTAGGGCTGCAGTACCGAATGACCGTAAACTGGATGGCTTAAAACCGCAGAAATGTATTCTCTCACCGTTCTGGAGGCCAGAGTCCACAATCAGGTTATGAGCACAACCACACTCCCTCTGACTACGTAATGGTAATGGAGCCTCCGTAGTCAGGTTCCTTTGATCCCTGAGTTGTTTCTATGGACAGTGGCAGGCTATAGGCACTTGTCCATGACTGGGGGCCGGTGGTCACCCAGCCTCCTAAGTCACCTCCCTTCTTTAACTCTTGCCCCATACGGCCTATTCTCCACAAAGCAGCCAGAGTGAAAGTAGAGGTTAATATAGTAAAACGAAGTCAAACTGAGTACTCCCCTGCTCTGCGCCCTCCAGCGACTTCCCAGCTCATGCAGAGTAAACTCCAAAACCCTTGCCGACAATGTCCCCATGACTGGGCCCTTGGCTGTCCTCCAACTTCAAGTTCTGCCAGCATATACTGACTCCAGCCTGGGGCCCCTGGAAACTCCTTGAACAATGAGGAAGACCAGGCCCAGGTGACCAGGGAGACCAGTGCCCAGGGTGAGGTGATGAGGGCCTGGACGGGGCAGCAATGGTAATGGACAGGTGCTTTCTGCTTCCACCTGCCCCTGGAAAGGCTCACGCCACCTGCACCCGCCACCTTTTTCCTTCCCAAGTCACTGTCCTTGCTTCGATTGTTGAGCATCTGGCTCCCAGCTCCAACACTGACCTGCCCAATCTGAGGAGATTTCAGGGTCCGTGTAACCGACCCAGTCAACCACCAGCTTCAAAATTCCAGGAGCTCCTTTTAATACTAACGGCCTTCACTCCTACGTGCTCAGCCATCTGTCATGGGGCTTCAGTCTGAACTGGCCTCATCCTGTGCAACTGCTGCTCCCTTCAGACACCTTACCCTGCGTCATCCCACCTGCTCACCCACGTGTTCTCTGATCAAGGTTCCACGAGACACCTGGGCCCTCGACGCCACCGCCCTCTCCCAGCCAGTGGGCAGCTCCCCCGACTCACACCCTTCCCTATCTAGCTGTTGGGTGGTAGCAAGGCGTTCCCGGAGCATCAGGGTCGTCGGGGAGTTCAGATTATGGTCCCTCACAGACGTGGGACTCCACAGGCCTCTTGGTGCTTTGACTGACCACTCAGCCCATCCGGAAACACTCCTCCCTCCTGGTTTCCGTGGCACTGCTTTCTCTTGGTTCTCCTCAAGCCTCTCTGACTGTTCACTTTCTGTCCTTCTCAGGGGCCCGTCCTCCTCCTCCTGCGCCTGACGTGCTGGCTCGGCCCCTGCCCTCGGCCCCGCGCTCCCTCCCTCTCCACCCTCCGCCTCCCTCAGTGGGCGACCTCACCTGCTCATATGGCTTCGGCCATCACCTGTGTGCTGACGACTGACAAACCTGCAGCAGTCTTCCCTTCTCATGGATAAGGCACAAGAAAACCAAGACGCTGGACGGGTAGATGATTACTACTAAGGACGGGCTTACCCTCAGATGTTACGAAGGCTCTGGAGTGTGCCTTTTAGTTATACTCTAAACGCCTTCTGTCCACCAGAGGGTCTGTTTAGCATAGTAACTAGGGCCGCTGTGCACTTCAGGGCCCCTGGAAGCAAGCTGGCTGACACATACCTTCTCATAAACATAGTATCATAACAGACCAAACCAAATCCTTATGTGTTACTGCAAATGCTAAGTCCATCAATGGTCCATCTCTCCTTTCTATTTTGGGGTCCCCGCCCCCTTCACATGGTACTTACTCCCAAGTACTCCATGGTCAGAAGCTTCTCGCCTGAGAGCTCTCCAAGCTGGGGCTGGATCAGTTCATCTTTGTCCAGATCGGCTTCCATAATGTCATGGTCCTCCTGTTTCAAAGGAGACACGGGGTGAATGCTCTGGACCCCTCCCTCGCTGCAAGTTCCCAGAGGGAGGCTCCCCAAGTGGGCACCTCATGAAATGGGAAGACCTTAGCCCAACAGCAGCGGCTCACGGGTTTGCATTTCAAAGGTTCCCCAGGGCCGTCTGCCCTCCGCTCACAACCTCCGTGAAGATGAAAGGGAAAATGCCAACCCACGTCTTTAGGAAGCTGGGCGCCTAATGAACAGGTGGGAAGAGGTTCACGCAAGATGCTGTTGAATGGTCTCTCCTAGTTACAGTTCTCAGAATGGTTTTCTCTGTGAGGTCAAGGTGCCATGTGAACAGCCAGATCAGCCAGTCTACAAATAACTACTAAGCACCTCCACGTGCACAGGCCTTACAGAGGATACAAAACTGTGTATTATAGGCTTTGCTCTTCTTAGGCAGTTTACAGTCAAAAAGAAGACCCAGCACAAAGAGGAAAACTGTTTTGCTTCTGGGAAGATGGAGTGGACGTATTTCCCCTGTTCTTCCCACTAAGTACAGCCAAAAACACTGGACATTACGTTCAAAATAAATACGAGACCCTGAGAGGCAGAGAGGAGGGGGCAGACTGGCTGGGTATCCTGAAGGACAAGGAATAAAAGGTGGTGAGTCCCCTGGGTTTACTTTTTGCCTTAGAGATTCCCGACTTGGCGCTGAAGAAGCCAGCCACCCGGAAACGAGCATGCTGAAGACAAAAAAAAGTCCCCCAAAGCCTACTCCGTCTAGCCAAAGAACCAGGAAACGGGGAGCCCAGCAAGATGGAACTTTTAGACGCTAACCAAACACCGGAGCAAACACTGTCATCCCACCCACAACCACACCAGCAAGGGCGTCAGGGCGCTGAGACTTCTGCCCTTACCAGGCTGTGACGAGGCACCCCAGTAACCCCCACCGGGGTGATATCAGAGAGGGACAAGTAGAGAGGGGGAGTTTTGTCCTTGCTGGGTGGTAATGAAGCCCCCCCTATCCGGAGGGGAGAGCAGAGACCAGGTGGAGAGCCTGGACTTCCACCCCGACTCTGCAGTAATGAGATGTCCCTGCCCCGCAACCAGGGATGGTGTCAGAGGAGGCCTGGTGGAGACTTAAGACGTTCACCACTGCGGCATCCCTGCCACCTCTTCCAGTCAGGGAGGTGTTAGTGGCGGCCTAGCAGGGATGGAGAACTCCCACCCCTGTCCTGCAGGAACAAGGAGTCAACAGAGGCCCAACTGCAGAACCTGGACTTCTTCCCACAGTAAGCAGGAGAAGCCCCTGCTCCTCTGCCACAGCAGTGTCAGAAGCAGCCAGGTGAAAGAGAAGGTTTAAAATAAGACAAAAGTTTCATAACATAGTATCCAAAATATCTGGGTTTAAATAAAAAATCATTCATCATACCAGGAGCCAGCGTGCTCTCCAACTGAATTAAGAGACAATCAAAGAGATGCCAACATCAAGATACAGAGATGCTAGAATTGTCTGAAAAAATGTTAAAGCGACCATCATAAAATGGCTTCAGTGAGCAATCACAAACGTTCTTGAAACAAATTAAAAAAACAGCAAGTCTCAAGAACATAGAAAAGTAAACCCAAAGCAAACAAAGGAAGGCGATAATAAAAAGAGCAGATATCGATGGAAAGGAAAACAGAAAAACAACAGAGAAAATTGGTAAAACGAAAAGCTGATTCTTTGAAAAGATTAATGAAATTGTCAAACCTGTAGCAAGACTGACAGAGAAAAAGAAGACACAAATTACCGCTATCAGGAATGAAACAGGAGATATCACTACAGACCTGCAGACATCAAAAGGATAATAGGCCCATACCAAGTTCATCATCACACTTTGCCACCTATATACTTCTAAATTCCTTTTCTACTTGCCACTGTCTTCTCTTAGGCCCGTGTCACTTTTTGTTCTTTTTCACTGTTTGAAAAGATATATTAGTTCAATTTTTTTGTAACAAATAATGCACAATTTTGTAACAAATAATGCACAATTAAATTGGGCATATAATGCATGAGAGCTAACTAGGTGGGGCTTCCACTGGCCAAATGGGGACAATGTGAGCATGAAAATAAATGTGGATATTAATGGATTATCAGGTAGAAATCCACACAGGTAGAGTTCACACTTATATAAATTAAAGATTTTTTTAAAAAATGGAAAAAAAAAAGGATAATAGGGATTACTATGAGCAACCGTACATAAATTTGACAACTTAGATAAAAAACACAAAGCCTCTCAGATGACTTGAATAATCCTATAATTATTAAGAAAATTGAATTCCTAATTTAAAAATTCCCCCAAAGACGTCTCCAGGCCCACATGGTTTCACTGGAGAATTCTACCAAACCTTTTAAAAAGTTAACACCAATTCTACACAATGTTCTCCAAAAACGGAAGAGGAAGAAATAATTCCTAATTCATTTGATGAAGCTGGTATTGCCCTGGTACCAAAAGCAGACAATGATAGTACTTTTATAAAAAGAGTACAGACAAATATCCATCATAAATAAAGATGCAAAAGTCCTTAACAACCAAGTTAAAGGAAAATGAAAAAAAAAATCCTTAACAAAATATAGGCAAATAGAATAGACCAATAGATCAGTATGCTAAAAAAAATTATATACAATGACCAAGTGGGGTTTGTTCTAGTGATGCAAGTCTGGTTCAGTATTTAAAATTTAATCATTGTAACCCACAAGATTAACAGGCTTATGAAGAAAAAAAAATCACATGATTATATTAATGGATGAAGAAAAAGCATGGCAAAATTCAATATCCATTCATGACCCAAAACTCAGAAGAATAGGAATGGGGGGTACTTGATAAAGAACATCTATAGAAAACCTGTATTTAACATTATACTTAATGGTGAAAGACTGGATGCCTTCCCCCTAAGACTGGGAACAAGGGAAGGATTTCTACTCTCACCATTCTTCGTGTTATAAGTTCTAGACCGAGCAAGAAGGCAAAAAAGGAAATAAGAAGCATACAGATCAGAAAGGAAGAAATAGAATTGTCTTTATTTGCAGATGACATGATTGTCTATGTAGAAAATCCCAAGGAATTGACCTCCTCAAACTCAAAGAACGAATAAGTGAGTTCAGCAAGGTCACAAGATATAAGATAAACATACAGAAATCAGTTTCTACATACTAGTCTTAAATTAAGACTCTGATTAAAAATACAATATAATTTACAATTGCTTATACACACACAAAAAAATAAAATAAGAAATACTTAGGTGTAAATCTAACAAAACATGTGTAGGACTTGTATGCTGAGAACTACAAAACACTAAAGAAAGAAATCAAAGGAGGTCTAAATAAATGGAAAGACATTAACTTGTTCACGAATTAGAAACCCAACATAGTTTAAATGTCAATTCTCCCCAAGTTGATATACAAGTTTAATGTAATTTCTATAAAAATCCCAGCAAGGTTTTTCTGTAGATGGGTACAAGACTACTCTAAAATTTATACGGAAGGGGCAAAGGAACTAGAATAGCTAAGACAATTTTGAAAAAGAAGAATAAAGTGGGAGGATTCAGTCCACCTGATTTCAAGACATTATTGTAGGCAAAGACTGTGGTCTGCCATTTCAGCAAACAAAAGACGCTGTGGCCCATAAAGTCATCAGCCACTGCAGCCACCCCTGCTGGTGCACCCTGAGGGGAATTCAGGATGGAAAAAAATAAGGTACTGGCCCTAGATAGTTCAGATGAATATCAAAACGGTAATTTCAGTGAGCCCAGGCTCTTGCATCTTCCCGTACACTGAAAAGCACTAAAATCATTAACTTGAGATGTCCGTCTTTTTGTTTTTTTGTGATTAGTAGTAAAATCTTTTGATGTTCGACTACATTCTCCTCCCCAGCAAAAGCTCCTATTATATCCAGTGCCTCCCTTACCTCTTTGGAACAGTCCCTCAGAGCTGTCTGAGAGGCTGTCTCCCAGGCTACAGTCCTCAGTAAAGCCCCCGAATAAAACATAACTCTCAACTTACAGGTTGTGCACTTTTCTCCCAGTTGACATTATATAGCTACCAGAATCAAGGCTATGTGGTATTGGCGGAGGGAGAGAGATACAGATCAACTGGACAAAAAGAGAGAACCTCAAACAGACCTACACAAATACACCCAACTGATTTTTGACAAAGGTGCAAAAAGTATTTCAACAGAGGAAGGACAGACTTTTCAACAAGTGGTGCTGCCCCAAGATTCAATAATGAAAATTTTGGATTACTGACTAGATTGCTGCAAACGGGAACAGATCTCTTGGTGTGAAAAAGTAAATTATCACTGGGGAAACTTTTAAAATCTAAAAGTCTCATAAAATATCTTAACACTAGAGAAGGTAAAATATTCTATACGGGCGATAGTAGAGCACACGGGCTCTAGAAACATGGGCTCTGATGGTCATCTGCCATTGGGCTTTGTACAGTTTATTCCATCTACCTTTCAGTTTCCTTACCTGTAAAATCATGGTAATAATAGAATCTAACTCATAGGACACTTCTGAAAACTGTACATTAGAAAGGTGACTAATAAATGCCAGCCATGGTTATTAAAACAAACAAACAAACAAACAAACAAAAACAAGTGGTGCTGGTGCAACTGGACATGCATGGGAAAAAGAAAAAGAACCCTACTTTAATTCTCACAGCTTATATAAAAATTAACTCAGAATGGACCATGGACTTAAATGTAAAGCTATCAAATTGTTAGAAAAAAATAGGAGAAAATCTTCAGGACCCATGGCAAGGCAAAGTGTTCTTATACTTGATACCAAGAGTACAATCCATAAAAAGCAAAATTTGATAAATTGGATTTTTATTGAAAATTTAAAAACTTTGCTGTGTGAAAGACCCTGTTAAGAGGACAAAAAGAAAAGCTATAGACTGGCAGAAAACATTTGGAAACCACATATCTGACAAAGAACTAGTATCTAAATATATAAACTATAGAAAGAATACTCAAAACTCA